CCACCCACCACGGGGTTCTGTTCGAGTCGCAGAAGCTGCGCAGCTCGACGGATCTACTGGCCCTCGCAGGTCCGAGGCATTCCGTCCAAACTCCTGAGCATCCATGTCCAAACCAAAATAACGTTCATTCGCGAGCTTTCCTGAGCATCCGTGCCCAAACTAGATATCGTGCGTCTTGACAGCATCCGATTTCCACAACATCCACGCCCCAAGCAGCATAAGGTCCATGTTTGAGAGCATCCAATTTCCAGAGCATCCACGAAGAAGCCATCACAGCGGCAATGTTCAATAGTACCCGAATTGTAGAGCAGCCATGCCCAAACCAACGTGTAGCATATGGGATGTATTGGAAGCAGAGTGCCTCTGGACGGTGAACAGCTGGAGGTGCCTCTGTGACCTTTCGCTGTAGTCCAGACTGTGCGTGCTGACCATACCCCTCGAATTTATCATTGAGGAAGGGCTTGTAACGGATTAACCTGCGGTGAAAACGCCTCAAATTTTACTCTTGGCCGGTCCTCTGTCTGTTGCACAGAGCCAGTCAGATAATGGGAAGCGCCTCGCTATAGATGTGCTGCCTCAAGACACCTACGGGCCCTAAAAATTGCAGGGCTATGCGGCGGGGTCTCCTAGGACTAGTACTGCTACTAGCACTTCTTCTTCTACTTGTAATACTTTAAACTTTCTGCTGCTGCTGCTGCTGCTAGAAGTATATGAACATATCTATCCATGCTGCAGCTTGTGTATGGGCTGTATCTTGGCGATTAGCGTCCGTATGCGTAGTATTTGTATGATTGCTTTTGCTACCCGCATTGCCAGTACGACAACTCCTCCCACTGCCGCCGCCACAGCCGCCGTATACTATAATATACCAGAAATTACCATAATCTACCATGATGTACTATAATTTACTATAATACACTCTTACAACTTTCACTTGGGTATCCAGTTCTGCTGAGAAACTTGAAGAGCCGAGCCGCTGAGCTGCTCGGCAGAATGCCCGATTTGCTTGAAGCAAAGAAGGACCTGTCCGAGCAGCTAAGCAGCCCCGTCCCGACTTCCCGGGTATTTGTCGCAACTCTGGTCCCTTGAAGAGGTTTCAAAGGGCTGTATGAGCCTTTGCAAGGGATATGGGTTTGAGACTGACCTTCACAGAGTTTGGGGATGGAAGTAGTGCAATCTCAGAATTTTGATGTCGGGGGACCGTACCTTTGGCACATACCCTTGTTAACCGAAATTATGAAACAGGGAGAGGGCCCTAGGGGGAGCCTATCATAATCGCAAGGCATTTCCAGACAGATTTTACGCTGTTTCTACTTGGAGATTCAAGGTTATGATTATGACCCAAGGAGGCTAGCAGTGAGATACCGGTTATGAGTATATTAGGGTCCTCAGGGGGCTGATAGGTGGGTGATAGTATGCGTAGGTTATAATTGCTCTAAGCTTCCAAGATCTTCCAAGTAAGGTTATCCCCACAACCGGCCCTCTTTCCCCGGTTCATCAACAATATTATTCGACGAAACCGGGCATCCGGTCAAAAAAGCTGCCGGGTGGGCCGTCGTAGAGAAGTGTGGAGCTCTGGTGAAGCCGGTGCTTGCTGACAATCCCCTCCCTCTGATATTAAACCCCCACCCCCCCTACATTAAATACTCCCGACATATTATAATGTACAACATTAGGGGAGTATTTTATATTGGGGTGGGGGAAGGGTGGGGAGGTTTGATATTAGGGGGAGCGGATTACCGTTTTTTAGCTTGTTGGTAGGGCCCATTTGCTGCCCTTTTGAGTGATCCTCAGTGTAGCCCTCCAATCGGCGGAGCCTGTGCCTGAATACTGATGCCACTAATAATTTGCAATCCCAATGTTTATCCACTTCTCGAGCCTAGGTTGATTACTCAGACGCCTATCTTGTGGAAGCATATTTGGGAATGATCATCACCACCATCAACATCACCATCGCCTCTAGCGCCATCATCATCAGGATCATCAGCATAGCCATTAATCATGTTTATATTCTTTTTTTTAGCTATTCTGTTCCGTTGCGGTGTGGTATTTGGGCTAGTGTTCGTTTGAACATTATGATTGGCATGCAGATCTTGCATGGCTAGGCCTGATTTGGCAGAGTTGGCCCCCTGGGCCAACCATGCTTTCTCATTACTCCCGTTGATCTCAAAATCATTGGCCGTATCATCCTCATTCTCTTGACTGACTAGACTAGAAGCCTCCGCCGGCGCAGTTCCATCAAAGTTGGGCGCCACTTTTGAACAGGCCGTGATAACATGCTGTTGTTTGCAGTAACCTGCACGAGAGGCTCTAAAGCGGCAAGTTTCTGAAAGCCATGCAGGCGTCAAGTCATAATCTTATGTAATTTCTGGGCCACTCAAACTTCACCCCAAACAGCTGAATCGCAAAGCCCTAAACCCGCTTCGCCACAGGTAGTGTTTACGCCCCCCCCTCTTACCCTAAATGAAATCTGGAGCTGGTTGCATCTGCCTTCTCAGGACCAGGTCTGAGAAATTAGAGTAGTCTCCAAGTTTGCTCGGGTTGATTACACGAACCCATAAGAACCCCTATACAGTCCCCATACAATTCCTCAGGTCGTTTTTGGAGATTCAGTTTTTAGATGCCAATCCCCGGGGTTCACAGTATGACTCTAGACAATGTGATCGAATCCCTTACTCTGAGTATTTCTTTTGATGCATCTATTGAATCCGCCAAGCTCAAATGATGTTTTTCAGAGCCCGGAATCAAATCACCACGACCCTGACGACTCACTTCCGCAAGCATACTTCCCAAACCCTGCAAGTTAGACGTCTCCGAGCCTCAGCCATGGCGGCCAATGCGCATGGACGCCAAGTGCTCGCAGCTCAAGCATGCTGATCCTGCAATAAATGGAGGGGACAGGGAATTCCAATTTCAATTCTTGCGTTGGCCTGCGGAATGTTCAGCTCTGCCGACCCAAAACCTTCTCAATCAGCCAGATTGGGTATTGAAACTCGATTTCAGGCAGAGTCCAATCTGAGTGTATTGGATTCCAATCCTGAAAATGTTTGGACAGCAAGCTCAGGCGGTGCTACCCTCCGAGCAAGCAGCTTCATAGAACACGAAGGTGGCCGGAACGGGTCTGCATACTCGAGGCTCTTAAGCCTCAGTTCCGTTTGAAGCTTTCACGCTGAATGCGACATAGCCTTTTGATAGTTACTACGCGATCCTGCATGCTGTCGCAAGCCAGGTGGGAGAATTTTTGATGTTAGGAGAGTTGAGACTTGAGATGTCTGCATCACAAGTCAGGAAGACATTTCTGCCCGATTGCAGCACGGATATGGATCCCTCGACCAAGCACTGCGCATTGCGGCAGCACCCATGCCATCTACAAAGCATTACCTATCAAAGTGAGCTTGCCTCAGCAGGCCAATGCCTTTTCGCCGGAGGTGCTCTGATTCCAGAGGATGGAGCCGTCCTCCTTCCGACCCTGGCGACCCAGGCAACTTGCAATTTGTGAAATTGACGGTCGCACTGTGGTGTGGCTGTCGGCTTGATTTTCGGGTGCACTGCGCAGTACATTGAGTTTAGGTTGGTTTTCATAGGGAAGCTGAGGACCCATTAACGGAACTCGCGTAGCGCTTGACAGCTTTGGAAAAGTGGCGATAAGCCTCAGTAGCTAATATGAAATGCAGAATCAGACTTCCCCATTATTTCCTACCCTGTAGCCCCCATATCTGAACCCGACCCGGTTCCTGCAGCCTCCTGCTCTTGAGCGAGCTTTGCAAGGTACAGACAGCGGTGGCAGGGGGTCGTGAAGCAGATGTAGCAGCCGCGGTCTTTCGTCTGGCCCAGCAGAGTTTAGCACTGCCATTCAGTGCAGCATCAGCCGAGGCTGCCCCCAATGGTCGTGATGTGTTTGGGGATTGATCTTGTCAAGAAGGAATGGGTTGATTTGCGAGTTTTGGCATCTCCCAACTGCTTTCCACAAGTCCAGTGTTGGACCACTCTCAAACCAAAACTCTGCACGAGCTTGCCGAAAGATTGTTGCGGCGGCCTTGGCAGCGGTGGCCGGCCTGGCAGATCCAGATCTACTTGGCAAGGCAGATGCTTGGCCTGGGATCTGCAGAAGAAATTTTACGACGCGTTAGCTGTCATATCTGATCTGGACTGGGTGCAATTGGGTTGTGTAAGTGAAATTGCAAGCAGTGGCACCTCTGAAGAAAACAAACTGCCAAAGGATTGAGACCCCAAACCCAGCTTAGCATCCTGCATGCCAGAAGCAGCGTGGACTCTCAATGGAGGCAAGCAGGGCCTCTCCAAGCGAAGGACATGGGAAAAACAAGAGCGCCCTGGTTTCTCTGAAGCCCCAACTTCTGCAATCTACACGGAAAATAGCTTTACATATGGACTGACCCAAGCCCAGACAGCCATTCTCACTCCAGCGCTCTCACTGCAGGCAATTGGTCGCTCCCACATTCTACGGGTACTGGAGGACTGACTGACCTGACCAGCAAGTGGATGCACCTGTGGTTGTTTTGTCCACCTTCCTCTGTCGTTCTTCGTGCTTGGTGCTAAGTATACAAGAGCCGGCGGTTGCGGCCAAGAGGCATCCGACAGAACAAGACGCATGTTTTTGTACGAGCCCCCAAAAGCCCACAATTTGCGGAAATTCAAACATGCGTCCACCCCAGATCCTGGAAGTTTTCGCCGACAACAGGAGTTGGCCCGGCATATTGACACTTACCAGCCGCGCCTAACCTTTTTTCATTACCTGATGTCTACTTGAGAAATGATGGAATGGGCCACAGGGACCACAGGAAAGAGCATAGGACTGAGGGAGCTGCTCTGTGATTTTCATGCTACAGCGCTAGAGGATGCAGAAACTTTGTTTTCTACCAGGTTGGCTGAGCCTTGGGGGTTATCACTGGGCTTCAGGAGGGTCCGAGTTCAGTTCGGCACAACCTCCCTCTCATGCTGTTTTCATCAGATTCGTGCTTTGGTCTGGCCCGTGCGCCGAGGTACATCTTCAGCTTCTTATCGCGCACGGGCTATGGAACAATTGCAGGCCGTGCTTGCCGAATTGTCTAGCTTGTGATGTGCGTGAACAGTCTTTAGACAGCGTTTAAACTAAGATTGCGTATCAACCCCAACCTTTCATCCAGGGCCACACCATACCACATTCATTGCCCCACCCTTCAACATGAGCAGGCCTCATCACATACTCGAAGCCCCGGCCGTAGAGGCCGCCTAGCAGCGGGTATTCCCCTCAGATTTTAGAGCTTTTGTTGGGAAGAACACCTATAATATATTGGGTTTTAAAGGGATGGTAGACAAGAAATGGAAATTACTATATGGTATAAGGTTACTATATTTTCAGCCTGTGCCCCAGGAGTCTCGAGGGCTTCAAGACATCCGCATGTTGAACTGCAACAGGGCACGTGGTGAAATTGCAGCCATGGCCAAGTTGTGGCAGGAAACCTTGCACGGACGGGTCCCCAAGATAGGCAGGGTGAAAAGTAGCCAAGATATGACCCCAGACAGATACAAGGAACTTAGGGGACTTGAAAACCCAACTAGTATTTGGGAGGCCTACCCATGTATCTCCGTTTTCATGCCTTGCACGTCTTGCTGATCTTCCCACGATCCGCCTGTCAGAGGCCTCGATGTGGCAGCGCGGCGGACGCAGGCGGGATCTTGTTGCACAAGGGAGAGAAATCAGACTCGGGTTTTGGGGTATCCTGTGTTTTTGAATTAGCAATACAAAAAGCATCAATCCCAAAACAGCGTGTTGAATCGCAGGCCAGCATCACGTCATTGCAGTCTTGCACCGCGCCTGTACTGGTACTACAATGTTTTTGCCTGTTGCTGAGATGATTATACAACGCTTTGTGCTCAAAACGTCTTGTGTCCCTAAGTCCTGTCACATCTGCTGACTCCTGCGCCTGACATGATCTCTAGAGTTCTAGAGTCAGAAGCAACGCTCCAAGCTTTTCGCATCGGCGGAAGAATTTGTAAGTTCTTATGACTGCTGCAACCCCACCAGAAGCAGCATAGCCCCTCCACCTGCGCATCAAGCACCGTTTCTGACATCAGATACGGTAACCCAAGCTCCTGGAAAAACTCATCCAATCCCTGAAAGGCACCAAACACAAATGAATGTTCCTGTGTTGCTTTATGCGTATGACTGTATGACATACGTAGACGTATATACATGCTCCTGGCGTTGAATCGTGCTGGGAAAAAACATGGTGGAGGAAGGAAAGCCTCAACCGTATAGTGGGAAGGGACAAGTCACGGCACACAACCAACTCCTATGCCCTTAGGGATTTTCACGCGTTCATTGTAGTACAATTTGACAAAGCCAAGGACTTCTCAACGAGTTTTTTTAAAGGTCTTGTGGGTTTTCAGACAAAGGCAGCTCTGGCCTCCAGCTGTGTCTGGCTGCTGGCTGCATTCTGCCGGGCAATGGGCTACGGCCCCATGGCTGAGGTAGAAGCCCAAACAACCATGGAGTAGTTTAAAGGGGCTGAAAGGGACATACTTCTCGAAATGGACGGAAGTACGGTGCACCCAAGCTGGTGGAACACTGCTATCAGGTGTCCCAAACCAGAATTTTGTTTCTACAATGAAATTTTTTCATGCAGGAGGTTGCGTGAGCTCTTTCAGCCAGCTTTGCTCAGGATGCTTCTCTGCTGAAATACTCTGGGAATGGTGCAACGCGGACCCGCTGTTCATAGGAGCGATGTTGCCTACATAACTAACGTCCTTTTTGTGTCGAGCTTGAAGAAGTTGAAAGAGAATCCAGCGCAGGACTGCTGGTGCGAAGCACGTTGAATCTTGAGCAGTCGCTGGGCAGTGGATTTTGCATCAACCTTGCGAACCTTTTTGAGTGGCCATATGCCAGGCTTATCCAAGCCCCCAGCCCAAGCGGGGTTTGTATACGGAGTAGTGCCTAAAGCTGGGCCCAGGTTATTGCGCTTGGCACCGGAGACTTATTCGGGCCTGCTGCCTGCTTACCTGCATGACCTGCAGACTGCCGTTGTCCGAGCCTTCCTGGGATTGACCCGCGTGCGCCCCAGAAATGAGCTCCGTAAATTGCAGCAGTAGTGCTGGTAGTATACATAGATGTACCAAGACTAGTAGCAAAAGTAGTAGTACTACTAACGCGGCTACTACTGCTACTTTGTATTACTAGCAGCACCAGTGGCATCACCACGAGCTCTGGCACCAGCGGAAGAGCCAGTTGCATTTGCGTTTGGTATTCCTTTCTGGTAGCAAGATCCTGCAAGAATCCGCGCGGCGTTTATGGTGCGATGTGAGCTGTAGTCTAAAGGGGATTATATAGGAGACGATGAAAAGGGTTATTAAGGGGCATGCTAGGAGTTTAGACCCTAAACCCTAAACCGCCGACAGGCCTGCTATATTTGCTGTGGGTCCTTGCGTAGCTTAGCGGTGTTTGGCTTAGTGGTTTTGGGACTTTGGGTGCTTGATGGCAGGCCTGCGCCTTAGTTGCCCATGGATTTAGCGGGAATGAACCTTGCTATGCCGTCCGAGCCATGCAAGCGGCAAAACCCCTAGGAAACATTAAGGGGAATGCTGGCCTAGGAGTTATATTGGGGATGCTGGGAGTTTAGACCCTAAACCCTCAACCCCAAACACCTAGAGGTTATTCAGGGGGATGCCAGGGGTCTAGACTATAGCTCATGTGTGCTGAGGGCCAGACATTGTCTTTGCAGAAGTGGTGCCGAAGCATGTGGGGACCGAGACCTTGGAGGTTGGTAAGCCCAAAGATGTAATATTATTACTGTTATGGGTATTGTTATCAGTATAATGAGTATCAATAAGGTTGAAAACATGGGCCACTATATCCTGGGATCCTATATACCTAATATATACTCTATGTGTACCCTTAAGGGTCCCTAGAATCCTATTAGGGGCCCATAGTTGCCAACCTTTCAAACTTGGAGCTAAGAACTCTGTGTTGAAGGAATCATTTGATTCCGTGAGTTGTTGCGTCGTTCCATGGCTTCAGCGAGTGCTTCTAGGGATCCGCTCGCTTCTCGTATGTTTGGATTGGGTTCCAGGTTGGGATGTTAAATGAAAGATTACTACTAAGCCCCTCAGATACATTGTTTGGGAAATGCACCTGCAGCCTGGACCCCAAGCCCTGAAACCCCAGAGCCTTGTCTCGCAGGTGTCCTCTCCAGCATTACAGTTCGCGCGCCACTGGTCCCTCCTCGCAGTTGCAGTCTGCGAGACCGGCCTTGTCTCCGTTCTGCTGGACGCTGCGGAAGGCGCGCGCAACCCAGTTTTCCATAGGGTGTTTTTCATCAACGGGAAGTTGAAGTAGGCAGGCAGGAAGGGACTGGCCTCTTATCCTTGCAAGCCGGGTGTGCCAGAGATGCCTTCTTGTTAAGGTAGCGCAGGCAAGCGCAAACCTGTCAAGAGATCCAGCGATTTACTGCAGGACGGTGGGTATTCTAGAGGACATCTGGCTACAGCACGCGGCGCAGTTTCACAGAGCCCGGCGGTGCTCTGTCAAAACAGAATTGCCGAGGCCTAAACAGCTGAAACAAGGTGAGGGTCACGCAGGGATAAAAATCCTTGGGGCTTTTGTTGTCTCGGAGGAAGTCCGACATTCCACTCGGATCAAGCTCAATTTTTTGCATCCGGGCTCTGCGCCTTTGGTGGCAGGAATCGCAGAAGCTCCTACTTCTGAGGATAATTAGAACATGCATGTGCAGCGCCGTCGGCAACGTTCGGAAATATGGCAATAATTGAGGAGAACAGAATGAAGACTTCAGGAAGCATAAAGCATGAACTTCCGCAGCGTTTCGGATCATTTTTTTGAATTTACGGGTACTCCTTCTTTATGTGACGTGATGGTTGCTGAAACTCAGCCGCAGGATGTACTTTGCAGTCCCCAAAAGATCTGCGAGCCACACACGGCTTCCAGGACCTGTGCGTGAAGCAGGATCGCACTTGGCTGCCTTCTTTGCGCGCTTGCTGAACGCCAATCTCCAGGACCTCAAAGAAGGTCATTTCAAGAGGCCTCAATACTGGTTCACACTGGTTGGTAGCGTTCCCGGTATCATCTTGCAGTGAAGACCCAAGACCCTCAGTTCTGATGAGTTTGCTTGAAGTACCTGGCTGGTCATGGTATTTCCTCTGTTCAGGAGCCAGACTGCCATGGCAAAGAGGAAGAGCTGCTGCAGGCCATGCAAGCAACGGCAGCAAGGGGTTTTTCAGTTTGAGGCATACTTCAGAGGTTTTTGTTGAGAGGCCTGGGGGCCATGAAGCTAGAATTCACGCCGGCCTCACCCATTGATGATGTGGCCCTAAGCTTATCAAACAAAATTCATATGGACACATGGGCAATGGAACATTTAAACAGGATGAAATGCGCAGAAGAAGGGTTGGCAAAGCTGCAGGTAGAACAAAGCTAGGTGAAAAAGGTGGAAAAAGTAAACACCTGCTAAACAGAGGTTAAAACAAGGTGGACATAGCGTGGGCTGTATTCAACAGGTAGCCAAAAAAGCCGAAAGGTGGCGAAAAAGGTAGAACAAAGGTAGAGAAAAGGCGAACAAGGTGGAAAAAGGTAGTGTGACAGGTGAGAAGAGGGTTGCTAACAAGGTGCAAAACAGGCAGAACAACTTTAAAGGCGGAAAAAGGTAGACAAACATGCAGACACACGGCAGAAAATGGGTGGAAAAACAAGTGGCAAATCTAGAACAGGTAGAAAAAAGGGGACAAGGCTCATCCAACTTTAGGGTTTAGGGTATTCCTCACCTTCTCTCAACCTATCCACCTCGCTTCGACCTTGTTCTCTCGTTCTTTTGCCTCTTCTCCAGCTGTTCCATTTACCTTTCTTCTACCGTTGCCTTTGCAATTTGCCAATTTTCTCTACCTTTTTCCACCCTTTTTCCCGAAGGCACCGCGACGGTTTCCTGGTCAAAAAACGGTTGCCTTGCTTACACTACAGCACCTACATCGCCACATGCACTACACCACATCACCTCACCACAGCACCTGCACCGCTCACGTACACCACGCCACAGCACCTAGACCGCTCACATACACTGCATCACCGCACCTAGACCGCTCACATGCACTACACCGCAGCACCTACGCCGCCCACATGCGCCACGTACACGCTTCTATTCTATTTCCTTTCATTTCTTAGTCTGGGGTGGGTTTGGCGGGGTAGGTGGGATGCACCCTCTGCAGGTTTCGTGCCTGTCGAAGCGCTCTCGCTGTGGCGCCGTGCGTATTTGCAACGTCGCCGGCGAACCCTCTGCAGGGACCGCACAGCACCTACGCCGCACCACATGCACCACAGCACTTGCACCGCCCACACACCACAGCACCTACACCGCACGACATACACCAGAGATCCTACACCGCCCCTATTTTGTTCGTAGCACTAGACCACGACTGCAGTACCTAGAACACCCCCGGATACGCTTCCCTTGCTAACGTCGAACTGGTTGCTTTCGGGATAATCGGGGTCTAGTTTATACAAACCCTTCGCTCTTTGTTCAAGAATTCTTTTGTAGCCCCAAGCCGTAGCTTTCTGAAACCCCTGACCATCTAGACCTCCGCCGTTACTGCCCCCCTGGGGCTGTAATGCGCAGGCATGCCACGTGGCCGCAGCCCACTTCCGCGATGCCCTGCAAGACGTGCTTCATGTGCAGAGGCGCCCCTGAAGCGCTTCAATCACTATATATGGGTGAGTTAGATTGTAGGGTTCCGCTACATTTCGGTGAACTGCAAGGCTCCCTAGCAAGTTTTTAAAATTAGGGGGGTCACGGCAATCGCCCAGAGCACCACGCTTGTATTCATGGCGTAGCGCTTTTCCTGTAATCCGGCGCAATACGAATTACATGTAGCAGATTTTAGCATGAATGGGGTTTGGGGGGGTGGGGGCGAAAGTTACGATGAACCGTCCAGAGTCCAGACTGGCCTCTGATGAAATCCAGGCCGCAAAATGCAGTGCGCCAGCTGGGTGAAGAAGTTGCAGCGACCCAGAAAAACCAGTAGCAGAAGCCCAAATGGTAGTTTCCCTAAATAAGGGGACCCCAATATAGACCCCAATATACTATAATCCTTATTATTTGGATCCCCAAAATGGTACCCCTAATTTTGGGATGCCCGCAAATACGATATACATGGCCTACCTGTTCGGCTCAGGTCAGCGTTTTCTTCCATGTATCAGGGCAAAGCATTCGTCCCGCATAGACCTTGTTGCTTTTTAAGGACCAAAACTAGGTGACACTTCTGGATATGTCGTAGATGATACTACGGCTTTTGTATTTTGGCGACTTAGTTGAATTGCCATGATGTCAGCCGAGTACAGGCAGCCACAGAATGCAAGACTTTGAAAATAACCAGTGCTCAGGAAGTGTCCTTATATCTTGCTCCCACCTTTCCTGAAAGCAAGATGGGATACTAAGCATCAGGACCCCTGAAGGGGCATCATGTACAAACCTGAATTGTTAAGGACCCTTATGTAGCATGTCAAATCCCAGTTCTAGTTGTTTAAGCCCATCCCGTAATCTTGATGGAGTCCTTCAAGCCCCAGACATCCAGGGACCTCTAAGCATCCATCGCTGCCCCTTTATTCTGCCATGCCTGGGCGATACGTCGTGCACGGCGCCTACCTTGTTAGGGCCCTGGAGGACCCTCGGGCCTTAAGGCAATTCAAGGCTTCGGCATTCGGATTCAGCGTTAGCCAGTGTTTTGGCATTTGAGGCTGAGGGGGACCGATGCAGCATGCAGCCCGGACTTTGCACAGAGAGCGCGTCCTGAGTTTGGGGTTCCGACTAAACTGACTAAATATCCTCCGGCCATTGAACCCGAAAAACTCATAGCCCTTGTACCTCATGCTGTACATTCCCCAGCATCAAGCACTACAACCTAAACCCGAATCCCTGACACCCCAAGAACCCAGATCTCCTCAAGCCCTCAACCCTTAACAGCCCTAAAGACGAGCCCTAAATCCCTGCCAAAAACCCCTTACAACTCTCTACAACCCAAAAAGATTTTAACATTCCCCTCTACAACGAGCAGGAACTTAAACTCCAGAAAATCCCTGCTATGTTGAGAGCCACCCAACTAATCTGGTTTAGGGTTTAGAATGGCCCTACCCAGCAATGAGTAGTGGTACTGTATTTGGGTGGAGTTTATGCTTAGGGTGGGAGTGGGAATTCATAAGCCTAAGCTCTTTATGGCATCGTAGTTTTTATGTTCTCCTGACATATCGTGGAAGAAAGATGTATAAGCTAAACCCAAATCCCAAATAGTACAGTAGTTTCCATGTTGTTTTCCATGCCCTTATATAACCTCATGTGCCCCTATTTAACCCGACATCACCTTGTATGCCCTCAATCCGAACCTTCCTATGTAACCCACCCTAAACCCTAAATAGTAGTTTCCATTTTCTTTTCCATGATAATATAACCCTTATATAAACCCTATAGGAACCCTACAATCCCTTAGGTTACCCTAAACCCTATGTAACCTGTTGGAGAACTTCAGCCCTGAAGCGCTGTAGGACCTAAGTGGCCAGAGCCATGGTCAGATCGGCAGAGACCTGCTCGGGAAGGTCCGGCAAAAAGCTTGCCGTTTAGGGTTTAGAATTTAGGGGTTAGGGTTTAGGCTGTAGGGTTTAGGGCTTAGGATTTTGGTTAAGAAGGCTAGCCTCCCCTCAGATGAAACGCCCCCACCTCCCGCAGAATAACGACAAACATGAAATGCAAGATATTTGTTATCGGGGATTTGGGAGATTTAGTTGCTAGAAGTTCGCTCTCCTCCTTGATAAGACAGTGCTTTCATGACGTTCTGTGTGTGGGACTGTGTATCTGCGACCTGGCCTTGCAAAAGGTGTTCAGGAGATTAGATTCCTCCTGGACGGATGAGCAGACGCAGCTAATGCTGGAAGCAGCTGGTATTACAGGCGCCTGTTGTGAACAATGCAAGCATCTAACACTAGTTCCTTCCCATGTTCCACATTGTCCAATTGAGGGAGTCCACAGACAGAACGAGAGAGAGACAGAGACAGAGAGATGAAGTCCATACCTGAAGCACTGCAATGGTTGATAGTCTGATGGGGGTCCCGTGGTTTCTTCTGGTGCTTTGCTATATTCAGTAGTCGGGCCCTTGGCAGTCCACGAAACTCCAACAGACCTGCACCTGCTTGGGGCTGTTCCCCGGCCCTCCTGTGCTGGGGGAGGGAAGAGCAGTGAGGAGCAGAAGAAGGAAGAAGAGCAAGAGAGAGAGAGACAGACCTTGCTAGTTCCACATCCTTGAGTTGCTTACTAAATTGGAAGTGAGGAGCAGGTAGCTTCCAGGTCGGATCAGGAAAGGCTTGCATAAACATGCCCAAACGCCCGCTTCATTAATTCCTGAACTTGAAAGCACCATGGAGTAAAGCAGAAGCTGCTTCAGGTGCTGACATTGATTGTTGTGAGCTTTTAGCCTGGCTTTTTTCGCCAGAGAAGAGCACCAGGGCAGCATCGAGCGCCGCTGCAGAATTGATGGTTTCCTGCGCAGCACAGCTCCTGACAATTTGTTGCCCGACCCACCAAGGCATCAATTTATACCCGGTGAAAAACCAATCGCCGATGCGGAAAGCTGCATTTCTTTCGGAGCAATGGGAATCTTGGTCCATTCTGTGCAGCACATTTTTTGCTTGTGGGAAGATGACCACGAGATAAGCTGGTTTTTATGAACCAGCTTTGGGATATAGAGTATACAGAGCAGATTCAAGGTGTAGTCAGGAAAGCGATGATACCTCATCGGCTCTCTTCTATATTTGTGATCTCTTGAAAGGAGCCATTCCTGGCAGTTGTGCGGGGCCATCTCCACAGCACCATTGCTCGCCTCTGGGCCTGGCAAAGTTGGTTTAGGGTTTAGGGCTTGCGGTTGAAAATCTGGGGCCATGGATGGGAAAGGCAAAGGATTTCAGAGCCCGTCCTTGAAAGCTGTGTACGTCTCATGAGCTTCGCGCCCCGGGTGATGATCTCACATTCCTGCCACCAGAACCACCATATTTCTGTCATGTGCTTCTTTCAATGATTGCATGCCAGAAGCAAAGCCCCAATCTCCAACTTACTGGTGGTTAGTAGAGAATGAGGGAAGGTACTCCCAATTGCCTATGAACCCCCGGGGGAGCTAAGGGGCTAAAGCCGGCTTCTCACTCCACGAAGTAATGCCCTCGCATGACGTCCTCAATGCTCTCACGGAGCGCTGCCAAGAGTTGACGGAAGCCTGGCATGGGCGAGCGCTTCGGCTTCAGTTTGGGTCTAAAGTTGATTCGAGCGGTGGATTGTAGGCAATCTTGCGCCACTTAGGACGCCCAATGTAAGGTCTTCCTTTAGGATCTAGGATCTGCAAGAAGGAAGGTGGTGCAAGGTTTCCACCATCCACAGAAGCACAGTTCTGGGTGTTCCTGCAGGAGGCTGGGCTCCAGAAGGGCTATTCTACAAACAGCGCACGTTGTGCTGTATTAGGGCTATAGATACAAAATTGGTTATATTGGGGTTATATTAAGGTTATATTAGTGTTATATTAGTGTTATATTCGGGGTTATATTGGGGCTATATTGGTAGCATGCGCCATGCATCAGCGGGCTCAGGCAAACATAGGCATGGTCTATGAGTTCTTCACGGAGATGGCGGAGCATGATGGAAGCCAATCTGAGTACAGCTTCGCCTTTTATGTACAACGTGGTATTGCTGTGCGGATGTTGAAATCTCTCTTTTTTTGCAAGCATCCTTTTTGCGAACATGTTCCGCTTCACCCAGGCCTCTTACCCCAAGGCCAAACTCTGAGGATTCTGGTTTAGAGTCGGGGAGCTTCTTTAGAAAAATATTTCAGGCAGCAAAGACCCACTTCACAGTACAGCCATGGTTCCTCCTTACCTGGTTGCAATGCTGAACGAGTCATTGGCATCGGAAATGCTTCGCATGTGTGGGATGCCATTCGGAGTGCACAGGTTTCTGTGACCGTCGTGCGGTGATGAGAACAGAGGAGAAGCAGTACTGTAGCAGTCATTTGCTATGGAATTTCATAATTGATCTGTGGAGCCATCATTCACCGCGTGATGTAGCACAGGCTGCAGGAACAGCGCAGGCGCCGTCAAGGCAACTATTGCGGCTACACGTTTGAAGGTGGGTTAGTAAGCCGGATTTGAGCCACATTCTGCTCTAACAGCATAACATAGTTGCCATTGCTGCAACCACTTACGGTAGGGGGTTAGATGCGGTGAAGACATGCCAAAACAAGTTGGCTCGTTTACGAGGAGCTGGGGGCGCATCAAAAGCCTGGCTTTGTCTCATTTGGGTCTTCCGGGCCTGAGCAACACACCATATCATATCATCTTGAGGTCTGCCTGAGGTGCCCCTATATTGTTATTATGCAAAGAATCCAGGATCATAACACTAGTAATGTGGCTCCGACATCACTTATTGAGGACTTAAACCTTACTTGGATCGTCTCAGGTCGCCATAACTCGAGGTTTGAGAGTAGCTGCAGGTGTGGAAGCTCTGCCTTGAAAACTGAGGACATAGTCCATACATGTTCCGAGACATCCCGCAGTGCCTTGGCAGCAGCATAGTAGCACAGACCTCACGCTCTAATATGAAAAAAAATCCCGGTCCCCATTTTCCTGGTCGTGAATTGACAATTGAAAGCCCCCAACCCAAGGCCTTCTGGCAGAAAGCGTTGGGTTGTACCTCCCGCTACAACCCTCAAGTCCAGCAACTCTGAGCAAGAGACTCAAGCCCTAGCTGACAACTGCTACAACACCAGCGCGTCTTGCCTCATCCCTGAACCCTCAATTTTCTGCCATGGCTTAGGCAGCGGTCGGAAGACGGTTACGTGCGCCTGCTGGACGGCCAGGCAAGACGGTCTGCTGAGAAGAAAGGTAGGGGCCCCCTCTGAATAAGGATAATAGGGCATTGCGATCGTTTCGGGGGCTCTACTTCTGGAATCCCCGAAACGGTCTAAGCACTTACGGCTTAGTGGCTGGTGGTTAGTAAGGAGTGGAGGAACGGGTATATGGGGATGTATAGGGCCATGGGGTTTACTGATAGGGATCCATTCCTCAATCCCCGGCTCACAACCGACAAGGATAGGCGATTCTGTCTAAGGATTTGTGTGTAATTTGGGATCTATGTAGGGGCCCCCCAGGTATGGCAACATCCAAACAGCAGCACAGTAAATGCCCCAATATGGTACCGTTCTATATGGGAGGGGAATATCTACTAGGGAGGTGGGGAGGTTATTGTTAAAGGTATTGCCTCAAAAGAGAAGCAGACAAAATAACCGAAGGAACGCTTAGCGGTGGCAGCTTTAGGGGCCGGTCGTTCCAGAATGAACGTTGGTGACAGTTTGGGAGAGTATAAAGCCTTCTTTGTGGATGTGGAAGAAGGGTTCATGCAATATCCAATAGGCCCTGGACTGGATGTTGCAGTGATGGCACGTTTCGTGAGTTATTTGTCTATGCTGAAACCATTTTGCTGCTTACAACTTCTTATGTCCCAAGCTACGCTGGAGTCTCATCTCCTGCAACTTCATGATCTTCATCACCACTCCTTAGAGAGACATGTTGTCGTCATGATGGATGTAGTCCCCGTGGGTTGGCTGCGTCATGTATGGGCCTTGAGCCAGTAGAGCTCGCGGTCCGTATTGGCGTGGCTTCTGTTTCTGGCAGACACGCAAGAGTCCAGATGCAACAAAAAGGGGCCGGTCGTGCTACAGTGAGATGGGGATTTCCCAAAACTAGTGGTACCTTTTTGGGAGGTCCCCATAGTAAGGGCTATAATAGTTTGCGGTCCATATTGGGGTGCCCTTGTTCATATGTACCAGAGTATCAAGTTTTACTTCTAGTTCTAGCCATATTTGCGGCTGGAAGACTTTCGCTCCTGACTTGCTGGTTATTAGTAGGGAATAAGGGAATATACCCCCAATTAAAACCCTGTATACTGTATACCCTTCTTCCCCACTAAGAACCAGTAGGCTGAAGCCGTGTCAGGTACGGCAGACGCTTTACCGAAGCCACTCGAAGGCTGTGACCACGGAAGCGACAACCAAGCCCATCCCGTTAGTGGGGAGGCAGGCTGATTGGAGCTTAGGGGGGAATATGGGAACACATTTTATAGGGATTCTACAAGGATTTCAGAGAACCAGCAATTAAGTAGGGTGCAGGGCATTTGGATTTGATGGTTTTGTGGGATTGATTGTTGAAACTGCGATCATGTGCCTTGCACGTTGCGGGGTTCCAACTGCAAATAAATCCTATTGGAACCCGTTCTGTGATTGTCATAACCCTAAACCCCAAAATTCTGGAAGGTGATAGAGGGCAGAGCTGAACCCGCAATGCAAATCTCAAGCTCCAAAGCCTCAACCCCCTCGCATTGACAATCCTGCATCCTCAATCGAACACCTTCAAGTCCAGCCGCTCACGGGCCTAGTCCTAAAATCCTAAAAGCCTAAAACCCTAAACAACTAACTGTCAACCTTCAAGATGCCAGAGCCCTCTAAGCCTCCAGCCCTTGGGGTTTGGGGTTTAGCCCACATCCTGGGCCCTGGTGGCCCTGGTGAAGGATTCAGCAGACAGCCGGGGAATCCCCGATTGACAATCTGCAGCTCCCCAACCTGATGCCTCGGAAGACTGCACTGCTTCTGACGTGTGGGCATCGCATCTTGGGCTTCAGCTGATGTTCGTGGATTAAACAAGTTGCTGTCATATTTGGGACGTTTTATGGCACGATCCTGTGACTCCATTTCAAGAGGATGGAGTGCACAGGGGCGCGAATGATGTGCTTCTGTTATGGGGTGTTTTGGTCATGCAGCTATGTAGAGGTGCTAGACTGGGGTCTGTCAGGGTATGTCGTGAGCATTTCTGTGCTCTCATGTTCTTGTACGTTGCAGTGACAAAGCTTCAAGAGGTCTAATTAGCCTCAGGAATGCAGGTGCTTGGAGATATCCGCAAGAATCAAGAAATGTGCGCATCACCCTCTCGTACTTGCACAGGTACTTTCAGCAAGGCTGTTGCAGATTGCCAGGGCTCCTTTCATCATATTTCGCGTGTTCTAGCCAGTTATGGGCCTTTTGAAGACGGCATTGGGTGTAGCTGTGACGTGTTCTGTTGCCAGGTATTGTTACACCACATCTGCATGCGAAGTATGAAAGGACAATCCATTAGCTTTGGGGCCCTGGGTTGTGCAAGATTTCCTCCACTCAAAATGCCCTTGTGATTCCTGGAGTATAGGGCATCATAGCTGGTGCAAGATGTCCTGCATCCAGGGTGCAAGCCCGCATCCATCATATTATTAGTAGTATGGGTACCTTGCTATTCCTCCTACTGCTGCTACTACTCTGCTGCTGCTGCTACCTGCTACTATAGCCTCCCCCCCTTCCCCGCCCCCTCCTTCCCCCCCCAGGCCCAGGCATTATGTTTTGCTTATAGATTGGGGTTAGGGGAGGGGTGGGGGGGGTTGCTCCGTACAAGCCATACCCTACGAACAAGTTTTTGTCTCACAAGAGACGAGTTCATGTTGTGCTCAAGCTCGCAGCTCGGAAGGTTCGCACGGGAACTCACGGACATGAAGCCGCCCGATGACGACAGCTACTTCTTGTATATCCTTCACAGTTGAAGCATACTTAGCATGTCACCGCACCGAGCCCTGAGAATATGGCCCTTATCATGCACTGTTAAGAAGTGGGGGCAGGACTCAATGTACTACCACTACCACTGCCACCAGCCGCCTTGTCGGGAAATCATATTACGACCTCATAACCAACGTTAAGCAAAACATCATGCCTAGGGAGGGGGACGCCTACTGCTAGAACTGCTACTGAACTACTGCTGCGACGACGAGGACGAAAACGACGAAGACGACGAAGAAGACGACGAAGACGACGACGACGGCGGCGGCGGCGGCGACGACTACTTACTAACTCCTACTACTACTACTACTACTACCACCTACTACTACTACTATTATTAGTATTACTACTACTTCTTCTTCTTACTACTATTGCTGAGTGCTGCTGCTGTTGCCACCACCCCCGCCCCTGCCACCACTGCCCTTGCCATTGCCACTACCACAACCCCTGCTGCTGCTTCTTCTGCTACTATACGGCACCATCACCTCTTTCCCCGCCAGCCAACTACGATGAGTGCTATGCTAGCTACTGTTGTTCTTGCTCGTGTGGGATGTGCCGGCGATCCAGCAGCTGATGCTCTGAGGCATTCAACAGTTTTTGGTCGGGGTGCTCCGATGGAAGCAGCGCCGGATTCTTCAGCTTTTGTTTCCCGACACCGATGCGGAGGCCATGGCAGACATAAATGAAGCTCGGATGATTTCTCCGATTCTGCATCTACGTATTCCCTGGTCTTGCAGACTGTGTAACATGATCCTTGATCATGTTAGGCCCGCAAAAAGTGGCCCTCTACTTGCCCTACTTCCAACAGCCGAGGCAGTCAAGACAAAGGCTTGGGATCTGCAACTAAGCAGCTGAGCTGCAATTTAAATTTTGCATGGGGGTCGCAATTTGTCGTTTTGAAGTGTCCTTCAGCCTTGTCCACTGCAGCACGAATACCCCAAAGCCCGATGCTCTGCTGGCCTGACCCTCCCGCAAAGCAATCAGGTGAAGAGGAGCCTTCCTTGGCCCTGACTATGCTGACTCGCCATGGCTGCCTGGTGGAGTCCTACGGGCAGGCCACCTTGCATATGACACGGGCTTCTTGTGTTTTGGGCAGGTAAGGTCTTACTGAAGTTACGAGGGAGCGGTGATGAAACAAGGCAGTAACCGCACTGTTGGAAGCAGAGGCTTGGGTAGACATACTCATGCTATGAAACAGGTGCAGTGGCAGCCATGGTTGGAAGGGGGATGCCTCCTGCTAGTACAACTTTTACACCAACTAATGTACGACGACTACTTCTGCAGCTGCTACAAGTACTACTTCGAAACAATGCCATCTTTTCTCCGAGCCTGATATCGAATTCCATTGCCATCATTAATGGTCTAGCCTGGATTTTGGCAGATGACATACTGGGGTTACTGTGGGTGAAAGCAGGTACCTTCCGACACCCGCTATGCAGCGGAGAAGTTCATTGCAGCTGCTCGTCTGGTCAACAGAAAGAAGCTTGAGAGAATCTCGTGATCCAGGTGGTTCGAGAGAAGAGTGCTCTGCCAGGACAGCCTATCCAAGCTGGAGACGGAGCGAGATGAAGAGCTAGACAGCTTCATGCAGCACGTCACCAAGCATCCAGGACTCAGCATGGGTTGGGTGGGGCTGGTGCTGGCTCGTTTGCTACAGCTCCTACTACGAGCAATGACCTTGCAAATGCAACCGCTGCTTGGTCGAGCCGAGAAGCAAGAAGAAGTAATCTATAAACACAATTTACAGCTCGGAAGCCTTGTAGCTTTCCAGAGCAGGGCGGGTTAAACTTGAAAGGCTTGTGATGTCTGGCGCATGTGGGATATTTCTGGGCAGAATACCTAGCAGTGGATCGCTTATCCATGGCAATGGCAAGAACTGCGCACGTACAGCGCCAGGCAGGCCGGAGAACCCCTAAACTCAGGCCCCCGTGCTGCTGCGTTGTGCAACAGTGACAGTGGCAGGCACTAGAAAGATGTCGAAAAATTGTGCTTCGTACCGCGGAAAACGAGCTCCCAACGCCAGCATCATGAACAAGGAAAGATGTTTTACTGTCAGCCCTCACGCCCATATCCCCCAAAATTGCCCATGATCCTCCACGATCAGACCCCATGTAGTTAGAACACCCTTCCCTTGGAAACAGCTCCTTTGGAATTGTTTGCAAGTTTGTTTGCCAGGACGGCCCTTCAACGACGCTTTGCTGACTAAATACTCATGCAGCATGCAGTTGAAAGGGATGAGGGCATGGGGACTTGATTTTGGAGTCGAGGAGAAGGGGAGGTGAGATTTGGTGCCGCTTCAGGAGTGGAGAGTCGCCACATGGCTACTCAATGCGTCTTGACATGTTTGCTTCCGGCTCTAAGCCAGGCCAGCATCTAAGGGCCTAACCCTGTACAGACGTAGCATGCGCATGTGCCACTCTAACGCCTGTCGATTGAGTAGAGCACAAGGAAGACCACGTGGAGCACAAAACTATGCTTCTGCGTTCAATGAAGAGCCGGTCCGTTCGATTGGTATTTGAATCGCACTTGGCAGAAGATTTTGAAGCAAGATTTCTGCGGTGATATTTAGAAGCTAGGGGAGCAAAAAGCTCCCACCCTTTAAGCCTCTAAGTGAGGCTCCCCAAACTAAGGTGTTCAGATCTGTGGTGGAGAAATTCTGCCAGCACCGATACATCACCGTGGCTCGGCATAGGTGCAAGTGAGGTACCAGCACAAGACACTGTTGCAGCAGGTGTTTTGAGAAGCAAGCGTAGTCGTGATGGTGTTGATTGTGCTGGAACTGGTGCCGCGTTGGGAGTAAGCGGAGCATTGAATCAAGGAGGAGTAGCGGCAGTACTAGTATCCTTGCCGTTCCGCTCCTCCCCTGCTACGCCTCCTTGTTGTGCCACCCCTCGTATTCCACTTCTTAATCATCTTCCTGAACTCAGATTGCTTGGACACGTCGAGCGCCACTCCTTTACCTGCCGGACGGGGCGGAGGACTTCACGGTGCTGCGGAAGCCAGGTGCTTCTGACAGAATTGTCCGTGGATAGTTCAAAGGAGAACGCAGCAGGAATTCTGGACAAAGATTCCACTCTGTGGAAGTTAGGGATTTGTAGGACGCACGGCTTCAGGGCTTTTCAAGGTCCAACAACGATACTTACTTGGCAAGAAAGCGTTGCGTTAGTTAAAGGGTCGGGCAAGGCCAACTCGGGACATTGCAGCGGGCTTGTTTCCTTGTCAATAGGCATCGTTGGTTTGGACCTTGGTCCAGCAGTCGGCCTCACGCTTGCCCTTCGCACGAGAGACTTTCCTGTGGAAGGTGCTGAAGAGTTGACGCGCTTCCGCAAGAACGTTTTCGCATACGGGGAGTCGCATGCGTTGGGCCAAAGCGGCGGAGGACAGAGCTGGTAGTTGTGCAAAAGCAGCCATAGCCGGGGTGCAGGAACAGTGTCATAGTCACAGTAGTTCATAGAAGAAGTATACACGAGTTCGAGGTCTGCAAGAAGGAATGAGCGTTCTCTAGCCGATCGCCGCAGTAGCCGCAAGGTGCTGCTGTGGATTCGGGGACTTCGTGCACCACCTTGCATACCGAACATCCCAGGAACTACAGTATTTGGGGCTTCCTGCAGGAAAATGGTGCAAGATTTCCTCGGTCCACTGCAGTACTGCTCGTGAGAATTGTCATAATCCTAAACATGACACCGGCACCTGCAAACTGACCTGTCAGGTTGGAGCGACAGCCAGCGATGGTCTCCGGGATCTTTGATGTACCCAGGACTTGACAATTGTTTTTTGTTGCATGAGCTGCAGTCTAAACTCCTTGAAGGGAGCTATATCGGGGATTTTTTAGGGGAGTATTATAGGGGTCAGTAAGGGGGATACTAGGAGTTTGCACTCTAGTAATTATAGCTTACCTGGGAGCATACAGGAAGCACTTTGAGCTGTACACAAGGTGCAGAATATTGAAAGGACCTTCACCCAGAACCCCCAAAGGACTCTAACATGGAGCCCTTCCTGACGTGCTCACGGCTGGGGTTCCATCTTTTGAGGCCTCGGGATTCATGGTTTTAGTTGACTTTTGGGTCTCCTAAGCCCCTGGTCGTCTCATCGCACACTTGGCCCCCAAGCTTCAAAGCCCAAAGCACGGCAAAACCTTCATTCTTTGAGCACTGGAAATCCTAGGTATGAGCTGGGCCCTCTTCTCTGCCACCGGGCTCGCATGGTCCAAGGTCGGTAGGACTTCAGCTAAGGGTGTAGGGGCCAGGGGAAGAGGGGTTTGGTGTGTTTCTGGCTAAGAATTAAGGTTTGATGTGTCAGGATTTCGCTTTAACTTTAGGGTTTAGAACACTGGTTCAGCCATTGACCCATTGGCTCCGTGCATTTTGTCTTCAGGGTCAGGTCTTGTTTTTTATCACTCCTTGCTCTGGACTGTGCTCAAGAAGCTCCCAAGGTGTTGACGACGATGCCAAGCTCCCAAACCACTATGTGACAGACATCGAGCCCGACTCAGTCAGCTTGTGCAGCCCGTGTTGCGATCCTAGCTGTTGTAACGTATTGGTACCGTCAAGTCAAGGTGGTCTTTGCGCGTATTCATGACCTGTGGTCTACCCGGGAACTCCTCCCTGCAACATTGGCCAACATGAGCCAACTTCCGAATACACCTGGAGCATATGCAACATCTGTCTACCTACCTGGGATCAGTAACCTTGGTCAAGGGGGAAGGGATCTATATCTGACAGCCGGTCCTCGAGGAGAAGATCATCCGAGATTGCATGGTGCTGTGCCCAGATGGTGGCATGGCTGATGCTCTGCCGGGCCAGGGCCTCTGATGTAAAGGTAGAAAATTCAAACAGGAATGGCAGAGTTGGGCGGGGCCATTTTGCTTTCGTGCAGTCCTTTTCAGTTTAGAATCACCTGCTCAAGGAGCGGCAACTTGGGAGTACATGGGGTGCAGACCAAGAATCTTGTCATCTTGACTCATCGAATGGTCTACATGAATTATGCCTTCGGTCCCAAGCCGCAAACCAGCTCATGAGCAGATGAGACATACAGTAGTCGCACTATAACAACCTCACTCGACATACTCCCCAAAATGGCGGCTCATACAACAGAAAATCCGCAATAGGCTTGACTTGAGGTTGTGAAACTTCTGGAAAAAGCCCGAGAATCGGTACCAGAACAGTCTTGGAGATTGAGCCAGCCTGGACAGGTGAAACACTCCATGATAGTGGACAGAATCCAGTGGTTGCATCTTCGATCGGGAAGACGCAGCACACTCAAGCATCAAAGGCTGGCATCCTGTCCTTTTGGTTGTAAACCTGAGCACTTTGGGTTTGTTTCGAGGATTTGTCAGAAAGCCTGCCATGTTTTTGCAATGGCATGTTGTCTTTTTTGCCAGGATGGGTAGCAAGTGCTGCCGAAACAGTATCGCTAGTTGATGCCCATTCTTTTCGTTCCTCAGTTGCGAAACGGCTTCGGGCCAGTATGGCTATGATGTTGAAGATGACCCACTCATTTGTTCAGGCAGTGCTTTTGAAAAGAATGCCACGTGCAAGGCCTCGGCAGAGGAGTTCCCGCTGATGGCAGAGAAGAACCGCCCGCGCTGGTGTCCACACATGCAGGCCTTCCTGGACATTATCCAGGCAGGTCGAGCTCGTGCCTGCAAGAAAACAGTTTTGGAGATAGATCAAGCAGTCTCCGTAACTCTCCCTGAGACATTACCTCCATGGTCTACATACCGTTTGTTGCTCTTACCATTGAGGCTGTCATACTTTTCTGCCCAAAGCGGCCGCATGTATTTAGAATGTAAACGTGCCCTGTGTTCCTAAGAGGCTGTTTTTGGGGTAGTGTGCCAGGGATTGAATTTCTTTTCAGGTTGGCGAAAGTGAGGATGCCTTCTTCGTCAGCGGCCGGAGCAGGCAGGATCCTGCATGAATTTCTTGCGAGCAGAGGTACGCACTTTCCTTTGCTTCTTTTCCTGCGTGATGGTGATGCTGAGAACTGCCTTCAGTTGATGGAGCTGTCATTTTCCGAACTGACCCATTCTCGCAGTCAGCATGTGCCTTGAGACTTTCAGCAAAGCTATTCGTGTGAGGCAGCCTGACACACAGCGGTTTTTGGAGTTCTTCGTGGAGTTGCGGGTCCGGTACTTGCGCGTCTTTGGCCGGAGCATTGACTTCGTTTGCAGCTGCCACGCTTGCGCCACACAGCTGCAGTGATGTGGCTGTTTGTCAAAAAGCTATGTGCACATAGACGGATGGGTGGTTTGGGGTCCGAAAAACCCCTTCCATCTCCCCAATACAATAAATTACAAACGTCTTGATCGACTGCATGGGCATTTTCTGCTTACGCATGTACTTCGGCGTGAGCACCTCATGCGGCTACGAATGCATCAGCTACCATTGTTCGTGCACAAATGGAGACGCATGTGTCTCATATTCTGAGAGAATGGGGGTCCACATGTATGATCTCCTGAATGGGTATTTCTTGGCATCAGCGTGTCTCATGTTCACCCACACAATGCAGCCCTTCTTCTGGGGGGGGCCCAGCAAAGGATCCATTAAAAAGAAAGAAAAAATCCCACATGGTGAACTTTGCTCCGAAGCCCAGGAGGATGGAGATTTCATCTTTGTCATGGCGCCGGTGGCCTGCATGCAAAAGGTGCGCGTTCCCAAAGGCCAGGGCTGCATGGGCCGGGGCCCCAGTACTGAAGGAGTTGCAAGAATTTCGGCCTAAGTAAGTTTATGATTTTTATCTTTAGTGTACAAGAAAAGCGCCCAATTGCTCGCAGGTTCAGAGCAATGAGGTCAGATACTGCATGTTTCTCAAAGGTTCCTATTCTGCAGCGACAGGGCGGCTGTAAGGGGATTGAAGCACGTTTCCGATGCTAGGCTATGCACGCCATACTTGGTTTCTGCTTTGCTCGGCCTGTGCTAATGAGCAGGGAATGAGCGCCGTAGCTTTTCCCTGACTGTCCAAAGTCTCTAGAGCCCTCAGGGAGAAACTTATCATGGCCAAAACTGTTTTGTACAGTCTTGCAAAATTGCTCCCGGAAAGTCCTCCATACCGCTCAAACAGCACAGTCACAGCAAAGTCCGAAACAATGCCCGTCTAGTCGATATCAGATCAGGTCAGATGTTTCACCTAAGACCTCAGTCCTTTTGGCGCCAGGAGGAAACCTAACCCTTAGGGGCCTAAGTCAAGTCGGAGTTTCCAAAAAAACCGGTGCCCCAAACTAAGCCCCAATAGACTATAATCCAGAGGGTAGGCACATTCAAAAAGGGATCCCACATTTCATGGAGGCCTGGACTTCGACTTTGAGAATCCAGACCTTGGGGAGCGGGTTACCCAAAAGAACCTGCCCATTGCCACGGTGGACGCCTCCCAAGGGAAAGGAGAGGGGTGCCCTCCGCATTGGGGTTGCGTATTTAGCATTAAGTCGGGGCTTGGTTTCGGATGTTAGGGGCCCCCAGATTGGGTTTTGCACTCCAGTTTTTGCTGCCGGCTCACGTGGAGGGTGTTCTCCAGGATATGCAAAACTGGAAAGCGGCGGCTGCGGCGATAAACCCCCAAGGTCGTCATCCGCTTCTCCTACTGGAGTACTACATTGGGGAAGGTGATTTCCGCAAGGTGTTGAGTGCGTAGGCATAGGCGTAGAGCACCGGCTTTGGGTTTTCATATGTTTCTTGCAGCTTGGGAGAATACATCTCATGACCTGCGTGGCGGCTGTCGTGCTTGAGTCCGCTTGAGAGAGAGAGAGAGAGNNTAGAGGGGGGGGGGTTTAGTGTTGGTCTTACTGGACGGAGGTAGGTGTGAGGTGACATATGACGGGGTGGAGTAATCCTCTCAGCTTGCACATTGCCCTGCGCACCACGGCGGGGAATGAGGGGAGGTATCACAACCGGAGCCAGAAGGATGAAGTTCGTATGCTGGCGCTCAAGGGAGTATGCTTTTGAAGCTTGTAGCTGATCGGGTCCCTCACATTATTTTGTTGTCTGCGAGATGGGAGGGGAAGGGGGACTTGGACAGCCCTGGCCGGCAGGAAATTTCCTGATCAACACCAAGGAGCACTGGAGGATGGCGATGGAGGGACGCCCAGTGCTTGTCAGGCTGCCACTCTGATACATTATTGGACCTAGTTGAGGCTTCTGATTCGGGATCCTTCGCGGGGGATGTATGTGTATATTCTTCTTTGCACTCCGATTTCCGGGCAGTTTACGGATGCAAAAATTGGTTTAGAGTTCAGCAGTTCAGCGCGCAGAGTTATAGGGCTAGGAGTGCGAGGGTCAAGGGCCCTAAGCCCCTAGACAAGTATGACCCCATCGATGAAACCCCGCAAAGCCCCAACCCAGCTGTTTGGATTGAATTCCAAGCGAAGCCACTATTATTACTACTATAACTGTTAGTATTAGTATTGCTATCGTTACTATTATTGTTATTAT